TACTTTCAAGAAAATACTTCAGATCTACTATTCAAAATAATATATTTTGGATTTTTCCAAGCTAATCATAAAAATGAAATTTAGGGTTTATGATCAACTTCTCTTATCTGGAAATAGGTCATTGAGACTCATTTTTCGTGAGATCTAGAGGAAACATAACGTTTGTAACACCTCTTTTTTGAATTATTTATTGTTTGATAATTATTTTAATATTGGGTGGTATTGGATTATGTTTTGAATTAAATGATTGAGTGTTTATTAGAAGTCCTAGCACAGGGAATCTCAATCAAGCGAGACTGAATGCCCAAAATCATATGTTTTTAGAGTAATCTTGCTCAAGCGAAATGAGTCTCGCTCAAGTGAGAACGGGATAGACTTAACCTAACTATCTTCTTGCTCAGGAGAGAAGAGATCTCGCTCAAGCGAGCAGAGATCTCGTCCAAGCGAGTTGAGTCACTCACGTGAGAAGTTACAAGAAAAATGTCCAACTCTTTGGACGCTGTCTTGCTTAAAGCAAGCATGACCTAGCTCAAGCAAGAATATAAAAAAAAGCTTGGAGAAACCATTGTCTAGTGTTCTTGCCTAAGCGAGATATATCTCGCTCAGGCAAGAATCATGTCGCTCAAGTGAGAGCTCGCAAAGCGGAGGGGTATTTAAGAGATTTCTAGCATGAAAATTTTATTTTATTCCAAACCTTATGTCTTCCATTCAATTCTCTTGTTTTTCATTTCTGAAGGATATCCTTTGATATCCAAGAAAACTTCAATTGTTGAACGATAACCTTCATCAAAATCTCTCTGAATGCTCACCTCGAGGTAAAGAAGACTCTATTTTATCATTTTATTTAATTGTATATTTTGTGCTCATGAGGATATTATCATATGAACATATATAAGAATACATGTTTGATTGATATAAGTGTTTGATTGTTTGGTTTGAGTAATCATATTGTGTTGATATGAAATGATGTTGTATATGGAAAGTGTTGAATGTGTTATGGTATATATTGGCTAGAAATGACTATATTGCCTTGATAATACATGCTTGAAAATTGTATTTCTATATTGTGAGCGAAAAGGACTTAGTCTGGAAGTGCTTTATTAAGCATGATCTTGTGATTGGAGAATGAAATAAATATGGGATGAATATAAAGTATTAGGTGAATCTAGTGTGAATAGTTACAGAGATACACTAGAGGTATAAGTCTGGAAACAATGGAAAATATAAGAAAAACGTAGGGTGGTAAGCGACATTCGCGTATATGTATACACTCTATTTGAAAGCGAATGCGTCATATGGCCGTACACTCGTTTCCTGACTAGAGTTTTGATTGTACCTTTGCTAAGGGGTCCGTTATTGTATACGTTGTATCTGTGTGTATGGGATAATCGACAACTATTTACCTAGTTGAGTAAGACCTCAAAAAATGCTGAAGACATCGTATTTTCTGTTATCACAGTGCACTGAAAGTGCGTATATAAGAGAAAGATATGAGGATTTATGATAAATTATGTATTGTGACTTTGTGAAGATTGTTGTTATGTTGTGTATGGTTGAACTTATTAAGTGTTCCTATATCTTATGCTTATAAGTATGTTGTGATATTAACTTTTGACATGAATGTATGTTTTATGATAAGATAGATACTCATTCTTACTAAAAGTTTTTAGGGAATCAGGATGACAACACTTCACGAAAGAATTGGTTTAATAGATAGTTCTGTATAATGTAGACTGAATTATGTGTTTAATGAATATCAAAGAATTTGCTACTTTAAATTGGACATTGATTGTGATAATATACCTAGTCATGTCTATATTTTGGAGATGGAATTATAGTATAATATTCTCTTAAATTTTCCTGTAAATAATAGGATTCACCACACCTTGTGTATATATATTTATAGAGATACTGTTAGGACTCCAACACCACTGACATACTTATGCACATACCATGATCATGATCATCTCAGAAGGCCAACCTGAGTTATCTTTGAGCGAGTTCCAGGTGTTTAGTTTGCGGCTAATTTGGAAGATCTCTACCTTGAATTAGATGAGGATCTTGATTCCGATGATTTAGTAGAGATAGATGGATGACATGACAATGACTAGAACTGGGTTCTCAGTGTTTTAGATATGGCTTAAGACTGCTTTGAGACTTAGTTTATTTTAGTTGTATAATTATTATTCTAAGTCTTACATGTTTTGATGAATAGTTTGTAAACTATTACACTCATTATATGTAAATGCAAGTTTAGTATCTATATTTTGTACAATTTTTTGGTACTATAATCTCTAAATTTATGGTTTATTTTATCTAACATCATCATGCTGAAAAACTTTATAAATAATTTTATTCATGAAAAGATTTTAATCTACTCATGTTTTATATTGCTCGTCATGTACAAAAATTTACATTTTATCCCAATTTTGTATGAATAAATTATGCAAATTAAGACAAAAATCTTTGAATATTACAATGTTATAACCAAATATACTACCTAAGGACTAAGATTCTTCCTAGATGTCACAAAAAAAGAACATTTGTAAGAAGAGAGAAAACAGAGAAGCAGAACTAGTTTGAAGAACTAAGTTTTGAAAAACTTACTTGGATCCAAAAAGAATATATGTTTAAACTCAAATCTGGAAGAGATTCAGATTTTGGGATAGTTTTCTTTGGGAAGGGGAAGTGAGAGATTAAAGAGGAAATACAAGGGAAAGGTATTTGGCTTCAAAATGAAGTTTCTAAGACAAAAGTTTTTTAAATATCTCTCATACTTGTGATATCTACTTTTTGCTATAGCGAGAATGCTTTAGAGGGCCTAGTCCAAAATGATCTTAATCTTAATCTTTTAAATTTTAATGTACAATAGAAATTCTACATTAAAATTTTAGACAATAAAAAGGAGGGTGTTAAAACAACAGTAAGAATTATAATATAAAACACTCAAGTAAGGACTAAAATGTAAGTATATAAACTAATTTGTAAATAAATATCAATTATAGAAATTAAATATAAAATTTAACTAAATATATATTTAATAATTCTTTTTAAAATTTATCATTTATAAAATATTAAAATATAATTTCAAAATACATATAATTTCAATAAATTCCTTCTCATTTATATATTTAATGTTGTTATTTTTGTTAATAATTATAAAATTTTGTATAAATAAAAAAAGCTCTTAATGTTGTTTAATATCTTTTTTTTCAAAAAAAATTTCAAATGATTTTTTTTATATATATAGAAGTGCGCTTTTTTGAAATTGCTATTGAATTAATATAGTTTTTCATTGTTATAGTTTAATTTGAAAGACTTTATTTAAATGAAAAGAAATTCTTTTTTAATTACCTATATATTTTATATATCTTAATGCTTCTTTTTTGCTTCCTGTATTTAAACTTATTGAAAATGATATTAATATATTTTTAGCTTAATTATACTTGTAGTTTTTTTTTTGTTTACTTTAGTTTAATGTGATTTTGATCTTTCAAATTTTAATTATTTACATTTAGTTCTTCTAATTTTTTAATTGTTTAAATTAAGTTTATCACCTTAATTTTCATTTAAAAAAACAAAAACAATATTTAAATGCATTTTATTTATTATTTTATACAAATCAATAACATGCTCCACCTCTATTTTAATTTTGTTAATTATTAAATATGACTTTATTTTTATAGAAAAAACAGAAAACAATATAAGAAGAAAAAGAATTACACATAAACTTAGCTATAAATAATTCTAATATTTTGACGTAAAATTGTTTTTAATATTACCCTAAATATTATAAAAAGTAATGAAAGGATCCAATAAAGTCCTAGTTGTGTCCCTTAAAACATGCATATAGAAATTTTATTTTAAGTATATTTTTTAAAAAACTTCATTGGAGAATAAAATAGTTTTTTTTTTTTTCAAAAAAACTAAGTTAACAGATAAGAAGTAAAACAATATATAATAACTCGTCGGTCACAGTCTTCCTTAACCAACGGAATTTTATTTCCCCGTAAAATTATATATATTTCCAATGTACTTTTCTTGATCTAATTTTCAAAATTATTTCAAAGAATATTTGACTGAAAATAAACAATAATAAAGGAATAAATTTACTCATTTAATTTAAATGTAATAGGCAAAAGCAAGCACATAGCATGAAATTAAAAAAGAAAAAAGAAAAAAAAGAAAAAAGAAATGAAAATGAAAGGAAGAAAAATAGAATAAGTTTAGAAGAGCTGTGGATCCTTCCTGGCTTCCATTACTGTAAAGTGTAGTCACTGCCAATTTCAAGAAAAAAGAAGAGACGTTTTGGTGTTCTGACGTCCACTGCCCGGCAACAAACACCCTCCTCCGTCTTTTGCGGAGAGAGATGCTATTCATATATTTTATTTTTAAAATCATTTTGAGTCACATAAAATAACATTAATGTTTTTATTTTTGTCATTTAATACATTTTAGCTACTTTTACTAAGTAATTTTAATTCATTCAACTAATTATAAATTTTAAACTTTTATTCAAGTCTATCAATTATAAATTATATAGTTTTACCTTTTCTTATGGTACAACCTTTATTTAACCCATGTTAGACCAAATATTATATATCAACCTTATATCCTCATTCTTAAATTTTAGAATAAAATAATAGTGCCTTGTATGAAATAGGATTAAATAATATTATATGTCAAATTTCAGAACATTGATTTTTTGTAAAATTATATCATTACTAAATGTTTTTAAAATAAAGTTTATTACTTTAATAATTCTGAAATATTATCATGTTAATTATGTATATGTAATTTAAAAGTAATTGTTTAATATATTGAACGATAGAGTAAGTGCATTTTTTAACAAAAGATTTTGACTTATATTTATTTACAATGTCAAAATACTAGCCTCAACTAAAGGGGAAAAAGAAGTGGTCAACACTGTTTTCTCTTCTATTTGGGTCTATTTAACCTCGTGATAGCCCCATCTATTATCTTCCCCCCTTTCCCTTCTTTCTCAATCTTTCTCTGCTTTTTATTTACCAGACACATTGCCCTTTTCACACCAAACCCAACTCTCTCTTCTCAACTTAAATCCAACCCAATTCAACACACTCAATTAATTGAACATCACTCCAATCACACCCCAATTGTCCCACTTTGCCACATTGCCACTACTACTCCTTTAAATTCTCTCTTTTGTTTCCTAATGTGATTCCCAAATCACAATCATTTTGCTTCAGGTTTCAAAGACACATAATACATAAAATTTCAACTAGCTTCAAACTCGTTTCATTTTGTTTCTGTGCTTCCCTTGATCTACAAATGGAAAACCAGTTCTTTTTGAATGCTGGGGTGTCCCAACACCCCCTTCACTTTGAACCTTCACCAACACCACCACCGCAAACACTACCTCTTTCTTCAATGTCCACGTGGCAACCGCTCTCATCATCATCCATGGAAATTCACCCAACAGTTCTGAATTGTTCCTCCGAGCAAACCCAAGATTGCTTTTACAATTGGGACAGGTCAACGGATCATACCCTCCACTTCGATTCTTCAGCACTTAGTTCAATGGTTTCATCACCAGCAGCATCATCCAACCCCAACAACAACAACATTTGCAATGAGAGTTTCATGATAAGGGAATTGGTAGGGAAATTGGGAACTATTGGAGGAACCTCTGATGAGATCTCACAGCATTCTCATAACCCTTTGGTTGTAGCGTCTTCTTACATGAACAATGCCAACAACACCACCCCTTTGAGTTCTCCACCAAAGCTTAACATTGTGAACAGTTTGGTGAAAGAGAATTTGACCAATTTGGGAGCGAAGTCAATGGCTTTGAATTCCACTGTGGCAGAATTCTCAGCTGATCCTGGCTTTGCTGAGAGGGCTGCAAAGTTCTCTTGCTTCGGTAGCAGAAGTTTCAATGATAGGAGTACCCAATTGGTAGTTAACAATGCTGAATTGGCTCCAAGATCTGCACAAGTTGTGGAACAAGGGAAGTTACCAAGAGTTTCAAGTAGTCCATTGCTCAAAACACTTGGATCTCAAATGGGTGCCCAAGAGAACAAGAGTTCTCAGTTTCAGGAGATGGATAGAATGGAAGTGGCAAATTCCCAAGAGGAATCTACAATTTCCGAGCAAATTCCAAATGGGGAAATTGGGGTGAAAACTTCTCCAGATATGAGTTCAAGGAAAAGAAAAGCCTCTTCCAAAGGAAAAGCTAAAGAAACTTTAAACTCTACTAGTCCTACCAAGGTAAAAAAAAAAGATAAAAAAAAAACTCATTCTTTTAGGTCAAACTTCAATTTTGTTATGGTTTTTGTCAATTTTGAAATCTCAAGTATCCCTTTCAATTCAGGGTGTTGAAGGTAGTGAGGACTCAAATGCAAAAAGAAGCAAGACAAATGAGGGTGAGGGAAATGAAAATGGTCCAGTGAAGGCTGAGGAAGAGTCCAAAGCAGGGGAAGAGAAACAGAACAAGAGTAACTCAAAGCCTCCTGAGCCACCAAAAGATTACATTCACGTTAGAGCAAGAAGAGGCCAAGCTACTGATAGCCATAGTCTTGCAGAACGTGTAAGAATCACTGTTTTTTATTTTATTTTCTTTTTCTTTTAATGACATTTGCAACATAGGACAAACTTGTGTAGCATTTATGTTGACACTGTATGAACTTGTCCTTAAAATAGGTACGGAGGGAGAAAATTAGTGAGAGGATGAAGCTTCTTCAAGATCTTGTACCAGGTTGCAACAAGGTGCGGTGCAGAAAAGTTAAATAAAATGATTGTGGGTAATATATCATGGTAAATTCAGTTCTTTTGCTAATATGGGTATAAATTGTTTATTTCTTGTAGGTCACTGGTAAAGCACTTATGCTAGATGAAATTATAAATTATGTTCAGTCATTGCAGCGTCAAGTTGAGGTAAATCATTCTTACCCAATAAGCATCTCAATTCTCAAATGATTGTCATCAAGTGTTTGTTTCCTTGCTCATTAAGTTATGCTTTTTATTTTTGACTTGTGGCAGTTCCTGTCTATGAAATTGGCTTCTGTTAACACAAGGATGGATTTTAGTATTGAGAATCTTGTCTCAAAAGATGTAAGTGCCACAATGGTTTGCTTTTTTATTAAATTTATTCTTCTTTTTCCTGAGTTGGGATTTATTGGCTTTTGATGATTTTCAGGTATTTCAATCAAATAATTCATTGGCAACACACCAAAATCCAATATTCCCATTAGATTCCTCAGCACCAGCCTTTTATGGGCAACAGACTCAGCAAAACCCAGTTATCCATAATAACATACCTAATAGAACGGTGACCCACTGCTCAGTGGACCCATTAGACACTTCTTTGTGCCAAAATCTTGGCATGCAGTTACCACCCCTAAATGGGTTTAATGAAGGTGGCTCTCAGGTAATAAGTTACTTCTACTTTTCTCTACAAATTAATGAATTAAAACAATGGTCCATTACATTACTACAGTACATTGAAAGTATTGAACCTTTTTTTCTAACTCGTGTGTCCAATGATATCTCAGTATGCATTAACATTCTGTGAGGATGACCTCAACACCATTGTTCAAATGGGATTTGGCCAAACTGCAAATAGGAAAACACCAATACAATCCTCAAGTTTCAACGGTAACAAAGCAGAAAAGTCACACATTATTGATACGTTAATGAAATATCGTTTTCATTAGGCCCAACAAAATTGACATTATTAATCTTAATTTTATTTTATTTTTTATTTGGGTACCGTTCAGGTTCAAATCAAGTACCCCAAATGAAAGTTGAGCTCTGATCACCTTTCTTTACGCCTGAATTGAAGCCCAGAGGAATAGGAAGACTGCTGTATACAACAAAAGATTTAATTACAACAACCCCATGAATTATTATTATGCCATTATTACTAGATCTATTCAATAGAACCCTTTTTTTGTCTTTAAGTTAGTCACTTCTTTTCTTCATTTTTTTCCCTTTCTCCCTTTTATGATTTCAGTTTCTTATCTTCTCGGGCAGTTTTTTCTTCTTTTTTTTCAATTTTTTCCTTACAATTATTCACTGTAAAATCTTAGGACCGATTCTGTATTAATTCTCTGGTGCAAATTCTAATTATTATCATGGCACCAACTGTAAGATGTAACGCTAATTAAAGGAAGTTTTTCTCCCAGCTTTTATTGTCCCTCTTGATATTGTTTTCTAATAATGGTATATGAATAAGTATTTCGAGAATATTGGTTAAGAAAATATCACAGTTACTTAAAAGAGTAGATTTAAATTATTTTACATTTCTATTATAATAAATGTTTCTTTTATGAAGAAGGTTAACATTTATCTATTAATAATTCGTACATCACATCAAACCACTACATATTTTCGTGGGTCTTCACTAAAATCTCGTTAAAGGTCATATCAATTAACCTCAGCTAAATCGCGCAATCTGGTGGATATGATTCTCACTTGTGTTGTAACCAGCTGTATTAATGGGGTCTCTTTTTGTCTCAAAAGTCTAATTAGAAATGATTAGGACATTTGGTTAACTTGAGCAATGGTCAACCATAACTTCTGGCATTTTTTTTTCTTGTGCAATTGTTCTTTAGTTCACCAAAAACAGAAGCTTCTATGCCTTTTATTTTGATTTAATTTAAAACTTTCACTGTGCAGAATAGAAAATTCCCAGAGAGGTTAGAAGAAGTTAGAACCGCCCCTTGTAAAAGAAAACAAAATATTTTAACTAATATATGTGAGCATCAAAAGAATCCCAGGTTGGCAGTGGTGAGATTCTGACTAGGCCCAATGAATCATAGAGCTTTATAATCTCACCCACTTTTGTTATTAACTTGTGAATAGGAAAAGGGGTTTGTAGTGGAGTTCAGGTTTGGAAAGATACGCTTAAAATATTAGACTAATCCTTTTCAGAGAGGTTGTTGGCAAAAATCCAGTTTTTAGGGTTTAACAAAAGATTTATACGTTGCAATCTTAACCATTTTTATATTCAGGAGTCTATTATTGGGTTGTAGATTAGTGTGATTTAATAATTAGAAAGATGCTTTGAATGTAGTGCTGCGTACAGAACAGTTGTGCATCATAATGTACTATGATATTTTTATTCTAAATACGTAGTTTCTTATTTCAAAAGAAGATAAAGAAATTGAAATACAAAATGTTAACCTGACACTCTTGTCCCCAGAAACTACAAACGCCCAATCATATGACGACGTGTCTAGGGATTGATTCTTTTGTTATTTTATATTCTTTCTCCACTGTACATGCTGGTTTTATTCCACTTTAGAGTGCTTATTAAAATTTATGCCAATCATAATGGTAACTAATGAATGAAACATAACCTTCACAAGGAACATCCAGGGTGGAGTTGTTAGCTGCTACTAAAATTTAATCCGTTTCATTATTTTAAATTTAACCCTTCTGCATTTTTTCAAAAATATTTGTTGATCAATTTTAGAGGTTCTTTTTATCATAATAAGTTCTGTTAATTTTAGTTATGAACACAAAAAATATAATATTTGATTAAAAAATAATATCAACAATAAACTAAAAAGAGTAGTTCTGTATCTAAATTTTCTGCTTAATTGAAACAAGAACTTAGAGCAACATAAGACATCTGGTTAAGCTAAAACTTGAGATTGTGCTTAATTTACGGAAAATTGCCAAATTTAGCTTAGCCTTATGAACGAAGTACCTATGAATCTGACTTTCAAACAGTGCATATATCTATATCACGTTTTGCGTAAAATCACTTTTCACTTGAGCAAGAACTTTTTTTATCTTCGAAATTTAGAAAAGAAGAGCCGTATCGAATTGGGATTCCATTTCTTTATTTCTCAATGTTATTACAAAATTAAGCAGAAAATTAACACATATATCGGGATTGGCCAAAAGAAACAAACAAACAAATAAAAGGGCTATCTTATTCTGACAAGATAGCGTGGCAGAGTGAAACTGGTTTTAGTTCATGCATGATCCACCAAGCTTTTTATCAAGCTTTTTAGCAAATAAAAGGGCTATCTTAATTTCACAAGATAGCGTGGCAGTGCAATTACTATAAACGATTTTAGCTCACTCTATCTTGTATAAGCAATTTTGAAAGTTCTAAAGCATGGTTTTGAACTTTGATAATGTTTCACTCTTATTCCTTAAAATGTATAACCAAAATCTTGCTTTACTCTCTTTTCAATTTTTATCAACCGTAACAAATGAAAATCTAGTAACTTTAACTGACGAGGGTTGAATTCCCCGTTTAAGATAGAAATTTGCAGTTCAATAGTCATAATCAAACACTGAAATCTTGTCCCTATAACAAAAGGGACACAAACAAAATCGGTGAATCACAATGAAAGAGAAATTCAAAGTAATTTTTTATTAAAAATATAATATTTAAATGCTATTAATGCAAATTTTATCATAATTTTTAATAAAAAAGTACTTATTAATTTTTAATCATTACTCTTAAGATAATACTAGTTAATAAAATTTTAAAAAGAATACCAATGTACTCTCCTTGGAATAGTTGAAATTTGTCCCACTAAAACGACGAGAAAACGAGTCCCTACCAAACGAGAATGTTTTGGGAGTTTTGTAAGGCACTATAATTATCATTAGGGTAGGTGCCCTACTAAGCAAAGCTGTCACAGTTATATCACCCACTTCCCACTTTCATTTGGGACCCCTTTTTCCCTTTCACCTTGGAATGTAGGGAATAACCTATTTCTTGGGGTTTTAGTAACTTTGTTTCTTTTGGTTAGGGTGACAAAAATAAAGGGCCTATCCCAAAAAAAAAAAAAAAAGAAAAGAAAAGAAAAGAAAAGAAAAAACCCATCATTTGTTTCACCTACCATTCATTATTTTGTGCTCTACAACTGTAAGATTTTAGGTCCATGTTTACTGCATTTCAAAGGCTTTCATAATCAACGGCCAATTTTTTTCACCAAATGAAAAATTGTTTATAGTTTGTGTCAACGTCAAAGCCATTTTCGTTGCTCACTTGAATTTGATTCCAAACTTTGGTAGCTACTTTTATGTAATATCGTTTGAGTCCATAGTTAATGAAGCTTAGGGACACACTCCTCACCTCTGAGGTGAAATTAGGCGTGTTGCTTTGGTCCCCACCTAATAGGGGTACCCTTAGTCTATAAAGACTTTTTGGGTGACATTTTCTACTGCGCTGAAGCCTACCCTTTTGGACAAACACAAACACATCATAACATTGATTTCACCACGAAAACCGATCTCACCAAAACGAAAACCCAAAAATGCTTTTGCAGTAATTAAATTGATAACTGTTTTGTGTTTTCCAGTAACTCCCCAGCTTTCATTTAATTTTAGTGGTATAAATAATATAAATTTTTCTATCTTATATCATTTAGGTCCTGTGTTTTGATTAAGAAATTAATACATAAAATATTTTTATTAAAAACAGATTAAAATATTATTAAAAAACGAGTGAAGTGACGTGTAGTGTTATATTTTTTTATTAACATTTGAGAATTATTTAGGGTGATTTTTGGTGACTATTTACCTTGAATTTCGTTTAGACATTTTTATTTTCCGTGAAGTTTACAGTTTGACTTTTGTTCGCGCACACCAGTGACAAGTTTAGAAACGGACTCAAATCTTATGTTGTAAGGTCTTTTTATTTTTTTAAATATTCAATGTTTTAAAAAATAATAAAATAGATTAGTTTAAATTTAATATTTTATGTTAAATTAATTTTGAAGCTAATTTTACATTTAAATTATTTTGAAATCTAATTTTTAAGGTAAAACTAATTTTTAATACATTTGTAAATAAAAATAATTTATTGTATTGCACTTATTGTTTTAAATTAATGTTTTAAAATAATTGTAGTAATCTTTATTAATTATATTATATTTTACAGGGTTATGTGTTTTAAAATAATTTTAGTAATTTTTATTAATTATATTGTACTTTATAGGATTATGCATAAATTCAATTGACACAAAATTAATTTAAATTTATTTTAAATTTAATTATATGTGAGACGATACTATTACCATTAACACTTTTATTTCAATTGTTATGTTGTTATCTCATACATAAAGACTAAAATAAATTTAAATTGTAAATAAATGAACAATGATATGTATCACACACATAATGTGTGTGTATATATATAAATAAATAAAAGAAGGATTTTTCCACACTAATGCAAGACTATAAACTCTTACACTCGATTTGAGTTTTTTATTTAACTTACATCTAATGATCAATGAAATAATAAATTATAACTCGTTAGATGTAAGTTAAATGAAATGTTCAGATCGAGTGTAAGAATTTTTTAGAAGATCTTGCCTCATATATATATATATATATATGAAGAGAGAGAGAGAGTTATTGTTCAATAGGAAATATTATACAAACCTCCTATCTTTTCCTAGATTATTTAGGTATACTATAAACCAAAGGTAAAAATGAAGTTCAAGTAAAAGTGAAAAGATCCTAAACATTCATAATTTATATTTCTAAATAGTTTACCCTTATCTAGTCCTCTAACTCATCTAAAAGAGGATTAACATGAAGGCCTAGGTAAGCCACTACACAGTACATAGGATAAGAGATCTCAACTCTAATTGTACTCTGTATGATTATGGGGGTAATAGTTAATATCACACAACTAGTAAAGATAATAGTTTGGTTAGCATTCTTATGACTCTAAGTTTTTCCATCCCCATATTAAAACTCATGTTCTTCTCAGCAATGGGAATATTTTCACCACTCATTTTGTATCCATAACATAGTTAATAGATACAAAATAAAGAAAGGATGAATAAATCATTCATAAATTATATCAAAAGACAATACTAATTGCTTTTAAACAGAATCAACTAATAGATTCATAAATCAAACAAGCATTTTAGAGTTTGTTATCTATAGGGTAATTAATTATCTATTTAATTTCTGAGTTGATGATGTTACTTTATTTTAGTAAAAGATTCCTAGAAAAATCATAGCTTATTATTTTAAATCCAAATGTGATGAAATTAGTGGGTTTGTTCTCCTATGTATATGGTTCAAAGAAAATACTTGTTGAGGCTCTCAAATCACCTTATTGAGAATAGACTAATAAACTTCCTCTGTAGGTCACAAGACTTTATTTTTCCTCTAACAGTAGGTTAAAAATTTATATCTT